GTGTGTGTGTGTGTGTGTGTGTGTGTGTGTGTGTGTGTGTGTGTGTGCATGCTCCCGTGCTCCCCAGCACAGTGTGTGTATTTATACCACTTTATTGCTTTTACATGTATTACACTTTCAGAACCAGACCACTGAATGAATACATTTGTTTTTCTTCCACATTCTGGTTTACAGTGATGAGGATTACGAGCCACCCCTTGCCCGTGTCCCAGGACCTTCAAGGCCCCCACAGCCAGCAGCATCCCCTCCCCCCACGGCTCTACACACCCAGTCGTTAACACCTCCCCCGACCACTCGACAGAAGAGAGGACGCTCCTCTGTGGGAGCTTCTGCTCCAGCTACCAAGCGTGGAAAGAGTAGGTTGGCATCTCCAGAGAGTGAGGAGGGGGACAGGTGGCATGACAGAGAGGAGGAGTGCATCAAACCTGACCCTCTCAGGTTCAAGCCGGCCAGGACCCCAGGCCCCACATTCAACACCACCAGAGCATGGTCTCCCATCAGCCTCTTCCAGCTTTTCTTTTCAGCGTCTGTTGTCCGAAAAATCATTGACAACACGAATGCCAACGCTGCCAAAAGAAAGCAAGCTGGGTTGAAGTGGGAAGTGCTCACGGTGAAGGATTTTTACATATTCCTCTCCATCATCATCTTCACTGGCCTTGTGACGGTCCACAACAGGTCTGACTACTGGAGGAAGAAATGTCCGTACAACTTCCAGTTCCCCGGTGACAGCATGACACGGAACCGCTTTGAGTCCATTTTGTGGTCACTTCACCTCAGCGACCCAGAGGAGGACGAGGAGAACGACAAAAAAAGGAACACCGCTGAGTACGACCGGCTGTTCAAGATCAAGCCGCTCTACACGGACATGGTGACCGCCTGCAAAGCCCATTTCCAGCCGCACCAGAATGTGTCCATTGACGAGCGGATGGTCAAAAGCAAAGCCCGTATCAGCATGAAGCAGTACATGAAGGACAAGCCCACGAAGTGGGGTTACAAACTGTTTGTGCTGGCTGATTCATCGATAGGCTATACCTGGAACTTCTTTGTCTACGCAGGTAAAAGTGAGTCCACCACAGGCCGCGGTCTGAGTTACTCAGCAGTGATGGACCTTTTACCTTTCCCTCTCCTCGGTAGCGGCTACTTGTTGTACACAGACAATTTCTACACGAGCCCCGCTCTCTTCACTGATCTGTCCAAAAAGAACATCGGCTGTTGTGGGACCATCAGGAAACATGTAACTGGCTTCCCTCAGACCCAGACTAACAACCTGCCCAGAAAGGCTGAGAGGGGGGACATGCGTTGGATCCGGAGTGGCAACCTCCTCTTCGTCAAGTGGATGGACATGAGAGAGGTAGCGATGTGCTCCACAGTGCATCAGGCCTACAGTGGACAGACGGTGAGGAGAAAGGTGAAGGAGGCTGGGGTGTGGCAAAAAAAGTCCATACCAGTTCCGGACAGCATCGTGGACTACAATCACAGCATGGGGGGTGTGGATTTGTTCGATGCACTGATCGGATCTTACAGCGTCCGCCACAAGACGATGAAGTGGTACAAGACTTTCTTTTACCACTTTGTGGACATCGCTGCTGTGAACAGTTATCTTTTGCACAAGGAGCTGTTCAAGTTGAGGCAGGACCCCACCCAGACAAAGCCCTTCACCCACAAGACCTTCAGGGAGCAGTTGGCCAAGGAGATGCTGGAGTTTGCTGAAGGCTCAGCAGCCACCCCGCCCCCACCCCGACCCCCACCCCCCTCCACCACCTGCATGCCCATGGTCTTCGACTGCGAGGAATCAAGGATCAGGAGGCTTTGCAAGAGGTGCCGCGATGCTGGAAGGCCCAAGATGAAGACAGCTGTGTACTGCAGGAGGTGTAAGGTTCCTCTCTGCCTCACCTCAAAAAAAAACTGCTTCCAACTGTGGCACGATGCACAGTAACTTCCTGATGGATGTGTGTAGATGGACAATAGTGTCAATAGTTTTGGTTTTGTGTGTTTTTACAGTTTGTTTTGTTAGAGAAATGTTTACTGTTTTTTAATAAAAGTAAATCTGTTCTATTTGGATTCAACAAAGTTGATTTGTGTGGTTATTTTTTGAATGTGAAAATATATAGAGGTCTTCAAAAATGCCCAAAACTGCTGTATTTGGATGTATTGAACACCATTAGTGATATACAAGTGAAATATATAGTTTGGTACATGAGAAAAGTCAAATGGCACAGGTGGTCCTAAAATGGCCATTCTGGAGACCTCACCTGGACTCTCTGTACTTAAACCTCTCTAACTTTGTTCTGCTTCACTTTATCAGAGTGAACCTTTGCAGAGAGACTGTTCACATGTTGTGCTATGATTTGGGAGAGGTTTAGACCTGCAGCTGCATCATTCCAAAGAGATAATCATCCTGAAAGTGCTTCTTTCTTTTTTTTAAGGCGAACCTGAAACTTTTTCATTTGTGCTGTGTGCCATCTTCATTTACTCTTAACCAGTAACATATACACTGATATTTACACGTCTGCACAAATCTCACAAGTGTTCCCTTTATTATAACACCAACATTATTCAAATAGACCTTGTGGTTGCAGAGATATACTCTTTTTAGTATGGGTATGCAATTTTAGAACAGAGGCCTAAAAAATTAGTGTTTTTATTAAACTTCCCTCAACCTTTGTCTCTTTTCAGGTGAGCTGCGGGATGCTGTGAAAAGTGGAGATTATATGGCTGTAAAATTGGCACTTAATTCCAAAGAGGACTACAATCTGGACCAAGAGGTATGTTCTAGCCCCTTCAAAGGTTTTGTGCAGACTAGCTTGTGCCTTATTTTATTTAGTTTTATATTTAATTTATGTTTAGCTCGAGGCTTCTCTAGTCTTCAATTTCAAGACAAAAGCACATTTTATAAATTTGACAGCTTGCACCTTGGTTGGCCCGTGTGTGTGTGTGTGTGTGTGTGTGTGTGTGTGTGGAAATGTTTGTGTAGTTCAGTATGGGAAAAAAAAAAAAGGTTTGTGGATGACCACTATAACACAGTGCTGTGTCTGTGACATAAAGTTAAATACCTGCGCGGCCGTTACAAATTACGTAGGAAAGAATTGAAGTATTTCTCATAAAGGTTGTCCAGGAATCATCATATATACACTACGGTTGTCCAGTCTCCACACAACACCTGTTTTATCTGTTTTAAACACATTTTAACGAGGTACTTGTTGTGACACATAGGTGCTTGTAGAGTCTGTTTGTGATTTGACTTGATCAAGTTTGAAACTTCTGGAACCTCTTTGGAATATCTCAATAGTATCAGCAGTAATGGAAAATACTAAACAGTAAACATGCCTGATTAAAGCTACATGATGCGGCAGAGATGACTTAATAATAAACCCATGCAGCGCTTATAAAAAACAAAAAGATTTAAATTTTTTTGTCAAAACTGCACCAAGGACAGAAAGTGTCTCCTCAGGATCTACATCCACACACTTTACTGTTTCATGTCTATTAATAATTCGACGCCTCAAGATGTTTTTCACAACTCCAAAGAGACTCCTCTTCTGCAACAAATCCAGGTAAGAGTGTCCTCTCAAATGCTTAAATATTTGTGATGGAAAGTAAATATGTTGTATCTTAAAGGGATAGTTCTAATGTTTTAATGTGTGGTTGAATGAAGTACTTATCCATAGGTCAGTGTATACGTACAGTAGACAAAAATACTTATCAATTGAATATAGCGTTATATTAACAATATTTTCACAGCCTTTCTGACGAGGCACTGAAGATGTTATATACGCTCTCTTTATAGCCACAAGACTCCTTTTACAAAAACTCTCCTCTCAGAACACGGGAGTTTCTGGTCGGTTAGTTAGTTTTATTGTGTGACTTTGGTGAATCTAAACTAAACATTTAAAACACGAAAGTCACACAATAAGACAAACTCACTAACTGATGGAGGCAGCAGAAGGCCAGAAACTCCTGTGGTTTATAAAGTGAAATTACAGTTTTTGTCAATGGAGTCTGGTGGTCGATAACGGCTTCAGATCCCCGTCAGGAAGGTCTGTCTGACAACAAAGTAAAGAGGTGAAAATATTCTAAATATAGCGAACATTTAAACTGATATTGACTCCATCTACTGTAGTAATACACTGACTATGGAGAAGAACCTCATACAACCACAGTTTAAATCATCCAAACTATCCCTTTAAGCAATGATGTAATAGTGTAAATATTTGTAATGTCGTCATTTAGTGTGATTACAACTTTTATTTTATGAAACAGGAAAACCTGTGTTAATTTGTGTGTATTAAAGTTAAAGTATACCTAATATGTATTGAGTTCAAGGGCCATGTAGCTTACTTTAAACCTATTGTTCTAGCGTGGGCAGAATGTATAAAAAGCTAAAATCTCCACTGACGTAAAAGAACTCATTGCAGTTAGTACCTAATGTGTAATTGTGTATTGGTAACTTCGACCCAATATATTATTCATTCAACAATATGTGTTCATGATAATGTGTGCACATTAGAGACTGGTGTCATCTTTCCTTGCAGAGAACATGCCAATGGAAGAAGACACCGAACACATGAAGTAATGGGACAAGATGAACCCTTTGAAGCAGGTACATAACTGTATATGCTTTTAGAACTTGTACCATCATCACTATCATTGCACATGTGCAGCCAGCATGCGCCAGTAAATATCATGTAGTCAGGATCTTTTTTTAAATTTCTTTTATCTTGGCATCAAAGATTTTCTACATAGTATTACTTAATGTGTTGATGTGAAAAACACGAGCAAGTGTTCCCATGTTTTGCATTTGTACCGAGTCACGAGTTTCATAGAACACCGCTATGCTAAGCCGAAACTTTGTTTATGACATCAAAAGTAAAATAATTTGTTTTGATTGCACGCCATGAATGTAGGTCTAGTGCATATTCTGTTCTCTCCATGTAGCATTTCATCCAACACCCCATGACTACATATACTTGGTTAGACAGTTACGATGTCAAATCGCTGCTTGATCCAATAAAGCCATTAACTGTTCTCGAATGGGTCACATGTGGTTTTTGTACCGAGACTTCAGAGGTGTCAGGGGTTGTTTCGATACCGATGTTGGGCTAGATAGTGACGTGTAGCCATCACATTGTGTTTGAATGAGCCTGGATCCTGGCGGGGCATTGCCAAGGTGCTGAAACGTTAAACGGCTATTGAAACATGTGCAAAGAAGTACCAAAATTAAAATAGTCACCTGACTTATCACCACCACTTAACCAAAGTTCAAACCAAAATTTAGCTTTGTTTGTTTTTCCCTCACATTTATGTCCGAATGGATCTTTGTTTTAAGTACACTCAGTCAAATTCTTCATGGGATCTGATTTGGCAATGAGTCTTACATATGCTTGTTCTTTTACAGGCTTGTACTATTGGTGAGACGAGGTCATTTGAAGGAGAGAGGAGCTTGATTGAAGAGAGAAGTTCGAGTAATGGTCTTAGGTTGACTTCTAACCTTGACAGTGCCAGAAATGACGAGGGTACTCCGAGAGTAAAAGAGAATATCCCACAAGATTTGGATGGTCCTAAAGATGGCGAAAAAATGCCAAGCTGCCCTGCCAGTATAAACACTGAGCAAGTGACAGTGAGGGAACATGAAAAGATCCAAAAAGGTGGAAAGGATATAACTGAATCCCAAAACGCTGCTTGTGATTCAGCTACTGAGCAGGATGATCAAGGAAAGGAAGACCAGAAGCAAGCACAGGAAGACGAGATGTCAGACGACACAAATCGTGGTTTATCAAGTAAAATTAACTTTAGTCGTTCGAATTTCACCAGAAATGCAGGAAGGATGCTGACGAGAGCCAATGGCAAAACGCAGCAAAAGGGCGTAGCTAACAAACAATGGTCCCACCAGGAAGCAAATGACTCAAGTGATGAGGCGGAGGATGGGTTGGAAGGTCAGTCAGATGGTACGGATCAAGTTCTGTCTGAGTCGAGCACTAAGGAGATCCCTAAAACACGATTGCGGCAGCGCAAGAAAACTGAGGAGAGGAAAGAACCAACACGATCCAGTTCAAGGACCTGTAAGAAAGTGCTTGAGACGGCACCCAGCAAAGCGGACGATGAGAAAAAAGAGCCCTGTAAAAAACACTTCTGTTTATATTGCAAAATGGCTTATACTCAAATTGCCAAGCATTTGGAAAGGAAACATGCAGAGGAAACTGATGTTGCCCATGCAATACACTTCCCCAAAGGTTCCAAAGTCAGACAGACTTTGCTCGACCAAATTCGCAATAAAGGAGATTATGAACATAATTGCCAAGTTCTCAAAAGTGGCGAGGGGGAAATTGTGACCAAGAAACAGGTTAAGAATTCCAGCGTATCTGTTCGTGACTTCCTGCCTTGCCAGCACTGCTTCGCTTTTTATCGCAAAACTGACTTATGGAGACATGAGAGGTCATGTAAGGCCAGAAAAGGAGATCCGAAATCTTCCGAAAGAAAAAAAAGAGTCCACAGTGCTGCCTCCCGGCTGCTTCCAATGTCAGAGTTCCTAACCGGAGGCTGCGAGGAAATCATCCACATCATGCATCAAGATGACGTCTCCCGGCATATCAGAAATGACCCACTTATTTGTAAATATGGCAATGCGTTGTCTGCTAAGTATTACCATGACAAGTCTCAGTTTGCTTATATCGCACAAAAGATGAGGGAACTGGGTCGATTTGTGGTCGCTGTAAATGAGCTTGACAAGAGCGTGAAGTACCTGCATGAAATATGTCTACCATCCAGATTTGAATTAGCCGTTGAAGGGGCCAAAAAAGCTAGTGGCTTTGACCCCAGTTCCAGTAAGTTTAAAACCGCTTCCCTCGTCTCAAAGATCGGCTACTCTTTGAAGCGAGCTGCTGAAATAGCTTTCGGGGAAAGTCGCATGACAGAGGACAGTGAAACTGAGAGTGAAGTGAAAAAGTTCATACAACTTCTTGATACAAAATGGAACCAGTGTTTTTCTCGCAAAGCTCTCGCATTATCGCTAAAGCAAGAAGTCAAGAAAGTGGAAGTGGACAAATCAACTGTGACAGAAGATTTGATCAAACTCCACAGGTTTATCACGGGGGAAGAAGAGGAAGCCAGGAAGGAGTTGAAAGAAAGTCCTAATTTGTCAACGTGGAAAAAGCTCAGTGAGGCCACTCTGGCAGATGTGTGTCTGTTTAACAGAGGAAGGGTAGGAAATATTGGTAGAATGCTCTTGAAAACTTACATTAGCAAGAAGAGTAGGGGAACTTTTGTGCCCTCAGCAGATCAAGTAAGGAAAAGCACAAAATTGGAGCTGGACCTTGGTAGCAGTTTTACCAGTTTAGAACTAGAGGGTCAGTATGGGAGGAACATGCTGGTCCTGCTAACGGAAAGGATGGTTTTGTCAATCGACTTGCTCATTGAAAATCGAGAACAAGCTAGTGTGTCAAAATCGAACCCCTACCTGTTTGCACGGACTGAAGGTCCATCCTTCATCAGAGGATTGGACTGTTTCCGAAGGTGCGCAATGGAATGTGGAGTTAAAAACCCAGAAGCACTTCTGTCCTCATCGTTAAGAGAGCAAATCGCCAGCTGCTGGCAGCTCATGAGCCTCAGTGAAGTCGAAGTGGATCAAGTGGCCAAGTTGTTGGGAAGGAGCAGCGAGGAATGTTACAGGCTCTTAAAGAATGCGTCACAGCTGGAGGAAGTGAGCAAACAACTTCTCAAGATGGATCGAACGCTGCCATCAAGTCCACCCAGTACTGCAAGAGATGGTGAGTACCTTTTGGATCCTTTTGTGTTACATGTAATGTGTTCTTAGATTGTTGTTCTTAGAGTCACTTGTTGCACATAACTGTCTGAGAAGCCGTCATTGGAATGTGTTTGCAAAAGGGCAGGGACTTTCAAAAAATACTTCGCAGGTGATCGTGTGAACCATCTGTCAATCGAACTCATCGAGAAAAGCCTTCGCTGCCGTTATAGAAAGACTCTCCAGTTGTGATATAACTGATGCTAGCCACTTGCAGCATCTAAGTTAAGATCTTTAGGAGCCGGCATTGTTGTTTAGTACGTGTTATTGCCGTCACCTGACCCATGGTGGTGGGACCGTGTTGTTGTGTAAGCGTCACACCCACCCTCCAGTTTCCCCCAGGGTTGAAACTGTTAACTCAAAACCAAACAGATTTTTTTTATTCTAGATCTGGGCACATAAAGGATCAATTACAGTTCATGTTTGACTGGAGAAGTTTCGATTCTACTTGGTACTGGGTTATTTCGGTCGATACCTTAAAGATATAGAGTACCGATACCCAGTCCTAGTTATCAGTACACCATCCGGGTACTTATCGTGCACTGCATTTTTTCATACTTGTCGGTATAAACGTACTTTTGCACTCAAAATAGCAAGTGTAAGTACAGAAGAACACGAATTCAGACACGGCATAAGTTCACCCACTTGCTTGTTCTGCAACTTATCAGCTGTATCACACAGTCTTCATCAACAGATTAAGTAGATGTTCAGACTTACCAATTTTCTGATCCCTTTCAGGACTTGACACTTAATTCTTGACCTTTTTGAAACAAGTTCATAAAAGACGCTTCACTCAATGTCTACTCTGGTGTTTGTTCTGGAGCTTCTGACAATGTCAAACAGTGTTGGACACGGCTGCTAATGAAATAAAATCTTGTTTTTTCCAAGATGAGGAATGAACTGTCAATGTCTAGAGTCAACATAGTTTTATCATTTTAAGAGACTGTCGTTACATAATCGTGATTCTCTACGCTCTTATCTTTTTTAGGAACTGTTCAGAAGCCCGCTTTAAAGAGGAGACCTTGGAATGAGAGGGAGCAGGTGGCAGTGAAGCGTTACTTGTGTGAATTTATCACAGGGATGAAGGTTCCAGGCAAAAAGGAGTGCAATGCTTGCATAGCTGCTGAACCAGATCTTGGTGGAAGATCTTGGACAGATGTCAAAAACTACGTACACAACACACTACAAACAATGCGGAGGAGAAATAACCATCACAAGTCTGAAGGGAATGTAAACGAGAATCCAAAGAGTCCAAAAGATGGCATCTTAACTATGGAGAAAGATTTGGAAGACTCGTCAGTTGTCTGTAATTTGACAACTGTGAATCCAGATCACCTGAGAGAAAGTCCAACTTGTTGTATGACAATGGCTCCAACCAACTACGTCCAAGAGATGACTTCAACTTATGCAACCTTGTGTTCTACTAGTGTAAACATGATCCATGCAAGTCAACCGTTGATTTCTACTTTTACGCCTTTGAATGCTACTGACACTCAAGTGGTCCCTACATTTACTCCACACAACACCACAAATGCACTAATGACTCCTCCATACACATCAGACAACAACCTAATCATGCCATTGTCGTCTTATTCACAGAATGCCACAAGTATGGCACCATCTTCTGTGTATACACCGCAGGACACTATGGGTACACCATTGATTCCTAATTTTACCACCTTTACTGCTCCAAGCACCTCAATGGTTCCTACTTTCACGACGTTGAATAATAGCGCGCCGATGATTCCTGCATACTCGCCACTTAACGAAAGGAGTAGGCCAATCGTTTCTTCCTTCACACCTCTGAACCATTCGATTGCACCGGTTTACCCAACAGGCCTGCCTCCCACAACCGCACAGGTTGTTCCAACAATCCATAGACCAAGTGTTCCTGACAGAACACCAGTTGCACAGGAAAGTATGTCTGCTGCGGGAAAACAAGTCGGTCCAGCTGTCAAGCCTCAAAAGAGAAACAAGCGGTTGTGGAGCAAGGAGGAACAGGCTGCCGTGAGGCGTCAGCTCGGGGACTTCTGTAAACTGGTCAAAGTGCCAGGCAAAAAGGATTGCGATGCATGTTTAGCTGCTGAACCTGCCTTGAACAGCAGAACGTGGAGGGAAGTCAAATATTTTGTACATAACACGATTCAGTCAATGAAAAGAAGAGGGCATGTTGTCGCCTCCAAACAGAGTGAAGTACAGGAACCAGAGATTCATAATATTCAAACCACCGAGTGGGATGGTCCCGTTTATCTGTCCCTGTAAATATTTGAAATGGACTTCCAAAAGAAACAAAAAAAAAAAACAATAAGTGATCAGTGAGATGTTAAAGAGGTATGCCAGGGCTTTAATCTCACATTATATGGGGTTTAATTGTCAGCAGATGTGAATTGTTGTGAAATGTACTGTCAGTGAACCTTGGTCTCAGTAGCCCAATGGATCTTGACAACAATTACAAACTGCCATGCCCTTCTTTTAGTCACACTTTTTAGAAACGCTTCCTGAAGTATTCAGAATCAAGTCCACCAGACCAAGCTACTGGTGTGTACTGTTGCATGAATAAACACTAAAACGGATGGAACTGAGGACATTTGTACTGTAGCTTTTGCTCAGAAAAAAGGCTGATATTAATGTTTTAATATGGTTAGATTGCATAGAAACGTATGTGACGCACTCAAATATGTAATATGTTTGTCGGATCATCGCAGGTGATCTCTAGAAAGTGCTCTAATTGAGGCGTGCGATCATTTAGTCAATGTGAATCTCATTTCTGCCCGGATTTGCGTCACCAGTCATCGGCTGTGGCACCCAAACACGCTTTCACAATACTTGTGAAAATGGTGAAAGCGATGGCTGAAATTGTTTGGGGCCATCGTGACCGGGACATTTCCCACAATGCACTGAGCAAAGGTAGCCTCGGTGACCGTACATTTCCAGAGGGATTTTTACTCATCTCTACTTCAAACATCTATCTTTCTGCCTGTACTGTTTTCAGTAGTGTTTTTATCAATTTTGATGATCAAAAAAAAAAATGAAATTGAAAAACCTACCAGCAAATCTTTGCATCCAGTCCCTCCACCATGATAGATATGCGTTGACTTGATTCCCAAAATGCCCGGCTCAAGTGTACTGTATTCTTGCTTTAGCCAGTAGCCTTTATTGTAGAAGGCCCTGATAGCCTGCAGCGGTAACGGCATACCTTCCTTGATGATGTTAGATGATTAGGAGCTCTGTGTGTATACCTCTCACTTAAATATGAAAAACATATTTCTTTCTCTGAGAATCCTGTTGATAAATGTTTATCTTCACTTATGTATTTTATTTTTTTGTCATGCGTATTAACAAGCTGCCAAAAGGTTTGGTATCACTATACAGAAACTGTAGAACATTTTAGTACTTTATCGTTTTCGATATAGTTGAGGTTAATACACTACATTGGTCCCATTTGTATTACTTTGTTTTAAGCTTTTATAATCTGGACGTTTGTGACATTAATATCCAGTTTTTGCCAAGATCCGATCGCCTTATGTTGATTATTTGCTTGATATTTCTTTCCTGATCACGTCTAACTCGCAGCATAGTAAGTGTAGTTTTCGTTTTGAAGAAGGGAAGTTATTACAAAAGTTGATAAATGACCAGAATTAAAATCAAAATTAAAATGACACCCCTGTACATGTTTAGATATAAAGGAAGGGTACAGTGTGTTGACATCTTGAGTGCTTCAGACATTAGAATAATCTTAACATCAAGTCTCTCCTGCAGTGGAATTAACATGCCGACTGTTATCTTGATGGCCCACTGGCAGATGCTTTTCAATATGTACACATTCACAAGACAAAACAAGAAAGCTACTTCACCTGAGGTTACATGTAAAATATGTTTTTATTTTGATGTATCATGTTCAAGCAAAGGCTTGGATGACACTGTCCCTGAGACAATCCTTTAAAAACAGGCACAACCGGAGCAGATTTTACCAATTTCACAAGTTGTAAAACAATGTACCTGCACACCGCAGTAATACTTGTTTCTGCATCCGCTTCATCAACAGTTCGCATCACAAGCGCATACCATATCGGAGTACATTTTAATTTCTGGCCGATGTAGATATTTCATTTTAAAACCTTTTATATGCCGACGATGTGCCGATATCATCATGCATCCCCAGATCACGCCGCATCATCACCTTTCACTGAAAATGCAGTTTAGTTGTTAGAGCAAAGATAAATTGTACTTTTGTTTCTGTAACATACAAACCTTGTTGAAGGTATTTTTTTAAACAGGATGTTGAACACAGGTTCAACCTGAATTTCCTGTTGAACCAACAGCAGACTGCTGGGTCGTCACATTTCGGTTTCACACTGGATATTCAGTGAGCTGTGTGGATCCGTTGTTTGGAAGACTCCGTATATGTCTCTGTTTTTATGATTCAAAGGTCCAGATAGCACTACTGCTGTTAAAATATTTGTTTTGTTATCCTCTGTAGCAGCTGTAGAATCTGTTTAGAGTAGCCAGTGTTCACCTTATCATACCTAAGTCATTAGCGTCCATAAGCTGGGTCAGATAACCCTCGCTAACTCATTCACACCAGTGTCAAACTGGTTTATTTTCTGTGTATTTGCTCCCTTGTGAATGGAGTATATGTGTGTTCCAGTATACAGTTGTGTTTTAATTCATCCGTTTCACGTCTGCAGGAGGTTTATGATTGTTCAAACACTACCATTTGCTGTCTTCCCCCTGTATAGTAGCTGACTTTCTCTCATTGCTCTTGTATAAGCACACACTGTTACTCTTCTTCATCCTGTTGTAATTATGTCGCCTTCAGTTGATGCTTCTTATAAAGTCTTGTAAGGCTCTTATAACTTCGGCTTGTACAATAAAATGCTTCTTGGCTTAAAGATTTTATGAAAAATACTTTGTATTTGTTTTACAGGTTCTTTAAGTTTTTGCTTCTTTATCTGATTTTCTAGACTTGTTGTTTTTCAAAGTGTCAAAGGAGACTATTGCGGTATTATTTTTAAACAAGACTGAAGCGTCTCCTGCATGCTAGCGGCTGTGTTAGGCTGTACAAAGGCTCATCCTGGGCAAATAAAATGCCACATTGGGCCACTTACATTTGACAACTCACTTGCCCAATCGGACCCTGTCTTGTTTACTATAACCAATGTGTTTGTGATTAAATTGATTATTAGAGCACAAAACTGTTAACAAGAGCACAACGTTTCTCATAGAATTACAACTCATTTTCCTCTCAAAGTGCAATAAGTATAAGAAATGTTTATGCACACTGACAGACAAAATCAGCCAACAGCTGGACTTAAAGAATTGAAAGTTTATTAGATTTAGATTTATTAAAGAGTCGGGGATGAAGCTTCGAGTTCGACGATTTCGCAGTCGCCATCTTGGAATATGGCCTTTGCTATGTTGTTTTTTTGCAACCAGTGAACAGGAAGTGACCATATCTGGACTGAGGAGGAGTGACGTAGAGATGCCTATACGTCTCTGGTAGAGACCTGTCAATCACCGTGTAGCCCCGCCCTAAAGCATCCCCTGCTTTATGGTCTGTTTGACTCTAAATGGACCATAATGTACTAAATGAACATCATGCTGTATTGAAGAAGACTTGAAACTAGAGATTGAGACCATAAACTCATGTTTACAATGTTTACTGAGGTAATAAATCAAGAGAGAAGTAGAGTCATTTTCTCATAGACTTCTATACAACCAGAGGAGTCGCCCCCTGGTGGACACTAGAGAGAATGCAGCTTTTAAATGTAGTGATTCTCGCTCTTTAGCTGTAATTTAACACAAACTGCAAATCAGTGAGTGAGAAGCTACACATCTCCCCCTCCTCCGTCTGTGACATCGTAGCGCTGTCTGTCTGTCTGCAGGACGTCAGCGGTATGTCTCTGAGCATGCTGGCAGCGGCGGGGGGGCAGGACGACATCCTCCGGCTGCTGATAAAGAAGGGGGTGAGGGTGAACGGGCGACAGAAGAACGGCACCACGGCGCTGATGCACGCTGCCGAAAAGGTAACGCAGCCTCTCACCTGAGATTTAACATGCTACTGTGATGTGTTTTATTTTAGCTTGTTGCGTTGCCCCAAAGTGGTTAAATGAATGCAGCTTTGAAGTATGCTCACCCATTTCATCTCCAAAATTAGGTGTTTTCTCACCACATAGTTAGTGACACACTTTTTTAAATTGGTAGCACCGTCATCACTTCTGTGTGTTGTCTTTCACCTTTATTTTCTATTTATCCGTCAGAATTTCTTGACCACCGTTGCCATCCTGCTGGAGGCGGGCTCCTACGTCAACGCTCAGACGCTAAGTGGGGAGACGGCGCTGATGAGGGTAAAGCTGCATTTCACACACTAACCTCAAAGAAATAAATGAAAGCAACCTAAGTTTGACCATTTACAGCAGACATCTCCAGACAGAAGTCTCTGGTAACACAAGACCGAGTCCTCGAACTGCAGTTTAATACAAAGCTCTTTTAATCACACGGAATACAAGCTGTGTGTTTTCAATTACATTTCAATAAAGATGGGAACATACACTCTGACCCCTGAAGCAGTTTTGGGGCGTTTTTTAGCTCCTGTCACATTTTACAGTAATTTCTGTGGCCTTGTTTTTTACAGTAATCTAAAGTCCTGCTCCTCTATAGAAACAGAACCATCATGACTAGAAGTAGAGAGAACTACAACATGTGTTTAGTGCAGAATAACAGTTACAAAGAAAAACACAATGTCTTTGACAAAAATTGGCAAACAATGTAACTTATATATTCAACATGTTTCCATGTGTCTACAGGTGTTACTAATGTTGGAGAAAAAAATGGAGGCTCCACGTGTTACATACATCAAACTATTACATTTTTACATCGTCTCCTCTCTGCTCTGTGTTCAGCAGCCTGAAGTTCAGTCAAAGTTTCACAGAATTGTTGTCAGGTGACTGTTGGTCTCAGCCGAGTGAATCAAGGCTTCATAGTTGCTCTGAGGAGCTCAGAATTTAATGTTTTTTACAGAATCTGGTTAAAACAAAAGGGTTATTTGTGGCGAAATTTTAAATGAGACGTGGAATAAACTGTTTTTGATGAAATATCACAATTTTAAGCTCCGTTTCGGTTGCTTTTTCTGATGGAAGCGTGCCTTTCATCACTGCTTTGTCTGAAGTGTTTCCGTTAAAGGAGACGGCCAGTGATGGAAAAAAACAAGACCATTGAACGCACCTTTAGGCTTCTTATCCCGACGGATTCCCGGTGTTGAAGAATCTGTACATGAGACGCCGGCTCTGTTGGTAACCGTTTCCTCTCCTTCACTTCAGGCGTGCAAAAGAGGGAACGCCGACGTGGTGCGCCTCCTGCTGGAGTACGGAGCCGACTGCAACATCGTGTCCAAGAACAAGACGGCGGCCATGTACTTCGCTAAGCTGGGCAACAACCTGATGGTGTGTGACCTCATCAAGGACCACACCAGCATGTGAGTCTACAGTCTGTTGGAAGGAGGAACAGCTGTTAAGTAATGCCGTGTTGATGCCGTAGTGTGGCGTTATCACACAGCTAGAATATTACAGATTTTATTTTATTTTATTTTGTTTTGTTTTATTTTATTTTATTTATTAGTTTATTAGTATGCTATCGACTGTCTCACTGATCTTTCTGTTGTTGTTTTTATTGTCTTGTTTTTGCTGCTTTGTCTGTCAAAGCACTTTGTAAACTCTGTTTTTAAAGGTGCTCTATAAATACAGTTATTATTATTATGATTATTATTTTGCCGGTGAAGTCACTCAGACTGTCCGTCTCTCAGGCTGTCCAGCGTGGCGGAGGATGCCATCCGAGCGTACTTTGAGTCCCGCATGGTGCTGCTGGAGCCCGTCTTCCCTCTCGCCTGCCACCGGCTCTGTGAGGGACCCGACTTCTCCCTGGAGTTTGGCTTCAAGGCACAGCCGCAGCCGGAGGGTAAAAACACACGCTGTAGTGGCCATTTGTCCAATAAATCAAAATACTACAAACATTAATCATAGGGCCACTGATGCATCGTAGATTGTCCATACAGGATTCAGTTTTTCTCATTTATTTAGCAAACCAAAACAAGCAAACAAACAAAAAGAACAACGAAAACTCCTGTTGCTGGTAAAAAAAAAAACAGCGACAGACAAACAATCAAACATCTAGAATAATTAAACAATACTACTTATAATTAAAATAAGTTCAAATAAATAGCTCCTACACACGCCTTCATCGTTCATCCTGTCCTAAACACTCACACCTTCATCGGACTCTCCTAACACTCGTCTCCTCTCTCCTTCTCTCTGTTCAGGCTCGGGCATCCTCCTCTTCATCTTCCACGCTAACTTCCTGAACGAGATCACCGCCCGGCTCTGTGGACCCTGCAGCGTTCACGCCGTCGTGCTCAACGACAAGTTCCAGTTGCCCATCTTCCTGGTTTGTTCTCAAGAACTCAAAAAGCAGCAGTTCAATTACACGTCTCACTGAGCCGGAAGCTGATTTTAACAAAATAAATCTAGTCATTGTTATTTTTATTGAAGTATAATAATGAGCTTAGAGCTTGTGTTAGGAAGTTAAACAGCTCATAATTCATCTCTAATATCTATTTTATATTCATGTGAAAACATCTCCTTCAAACTACTTGATTTATTCAAGTTTATCACCAAAACTACATTTTACAGATGACATGTGAACACATCATGATAACGTTATAATGTACCTTCAGCCAGTACTCATGTTCACTGAGCAGAGCCTGAAGGCATCATAATGTAACTGAAGTGAACCTCCGTTGGTTAGCCGTTAGCGGTGCTGCTAACGTTACTAGCTCTCCTCCT